CTCCCAATTTTCTCCCAATTTTCTCCCCATAAATTTCATTTTTTCCCCCAAATTTCCCCCACCCCCCGCAATTCTCCACTCATTCTCCGCCTTTTTCATTTTTCCAGCATTTTTATTTCTCCCCCCCCTTTTTCCACCTCCATTTTTCCAAAAAAAACCCAAAATTCCACATTTTTTAGGCACGAAATCCACAGTGTGGAAGCGACGATCGGGGCAGTCTCTGCCTGCTGCCATTCCCAAATTTTTCCCAAATTTTTCCCAAATTTCCCCCAAATTTCCCCCAAAATTCCTCCCAAATTTTTGGGATTTTTTGGGATTTTTTGGAGATTTTTTGGGGATTTTTTGGGATTTTTTGGGGGGGAATTTTCAGGCGTCTGCGACCGTGGAATGACTCAGACTTGTCGAGAAATTTCCAGAAAAAAACCAAAAAAAATTCGGATTCCAAAAAAAAAACAAAAAAAAAATTTGGGTTTTTTTTTTTTTTTTTTACAGGATCCAAGGAAAGAAACGAGAAAGAGGAACGGGGATTTCCAGACCTGCAAAAAAGAGAATTTTGGGTGAAAAAAGTCAATTTTTGGGGTTTTTTTTTGTTCCCATTTTCCCCTATTTTATTCCCAATTTTTGACAATTTTTTTCCTGATTTTTCCCCAATTTTTTCCCATTTTTCCCCAATTTTCATTCCAATTTTTCCCCAATTTTCCCCCATTTTTTCCCCAAAATTTTCCCCCTTTCCCCCCAATTTTTCCTTAATTTTTCCCCCATTTTTCCCCCATTTTTTCCCAATTTTCCCCAATTTTTCCCCATTTTATTCCAAATTTTTCCCCATTTTATTCCAATTTTTTCCCCATTTTACTACAATTTTTCCCCAATTTCGCCTCAAATTTTCCTTAAATTTTTCCCCATTTTTGTCCCATTTTATCCCAAAATTTTCCCCATTTTATTCTGAATTTTCCCTATTTTTTCCCCAAATTTTCCCCATTTTATTCTCAATTTTTCCCCAATTTTATTCCAATTTTCCCAGATTTTTCCCCAATTTTTGTCCAATTTTTCCCAATTTTTCCCCAAATTTCCCCCAAGGTTTCCCCCAATTTTCTTCCATTTTTTTCCCCATTTTATTCCCAATTTTCCCCCCATTTTTCCTTAAATTTTCCCCCATTTTATTCCCCTTTAATCCCAAATTTTCCCCATTTTTCCCCAATTTTTTTTCCCCAATTTTTCCCCATTTTATTCCAAATTTTTCCCCATTTTATTCCAATTTTTTCCCCATTTTACTACAATTTTTCCCCAATTTCGCCTCAAATTTTCCTTAAATTTTTCCCCATTTTTGTCCCATTTTATCCCAAAATTTTCCCCATTTTATTCTGAATTTTCCCTATTTTTTCCCCAAATTTTCCCCATTTTATTCTCAATTTTTCCCCAATTTTATTCCAATTTTCCCAGATTTTTCCCCAATTTTTGTCCAATTTTTCCCAATTTTTCCCCAAATTTCCCCCAAGGTTTCCCCCAATTTTCTTCCATTTTTTTCCCCATTTTATTCCCAATTTTTCCCCCATTTTTCCTTAAATTTTCCCCCATTTTATTCCCCTTTTATCCCAAATTTTCCCCTATTTTTCCCCTATTTTTCCCCAATTTTTTCCCATTTTTTATTCCAATTTCACCCCAATATTTCCTAAATTTTCCCCAAATTTTTTCACAATTTTATTCCAATTTTCCCTCATTTTTCCCCAAATTTTCCCTCATTTTCCCCCAAATTTTTCCTTAATTTTTCCTTAATTTTCCCCCCAATTTTCTCCATTTTATTCCAAATTCTTCCGCATTTTATTAAAATTTTTCCCCAATTTCCCCCCAAATTTTCCTTAATTTTTTCCCCATTTTGTCCCAATTTTTCCCCATTTTATTCCCAATTTTCCCCCATTTTTCCTTAAATTTTCCCCCATTTTATTCCCCTTTTATCCCAAATTTTCCCCTATTTTTCCCCATTTTTCCCCAATTTTCCCCAAATTTTCCCCGTTTTATTTTCAATTTTCCCCCAAATGTTTCCCCCATTCTCCCCAAATTTTCCCCCAATTTTATTCCAAATTTTTACCAATTTTCCCCGTTTTTCCCCAAATTTTCCTTAAATTTTTCCCCATTTTTGTCCCATTTTATCCCAAAATTTTCCCCATTTTATTCTGAATTTTCCCTATTTTTTCCCCAAATTTTCCCCATTTTATTCTCAATTTTTCCCCAATTTTATTCCAATTTTCCCAGATTTTTCCCCAATTTTTGTCCAATTTTTCCCAATTTTTCCCCAAATTTCCCCCAAGGTTTCCCCCAATTTTCTTCCATTTTTTTCCCCATTTTATTCCCAATTTTCCCCCCATTTTTCCTTAAATTTTCCCCCATTTTATTCCCCTTTCATCCCAATTTTTCCCCATTTTATCCCAATTTTTCCCCATTTTATCCCAATTTTTCCCCATTTTATTCCAAATTTTCCCCCCATTTTTCCTTAAATTTTCCCCCCATTTTATTCCCCTTTTATCCCAAATTTTCCCCTATTTTTCCCCATTTTTCCCCAATTTTCCCCAAATTTTCCCCGTTTTATTTTCAATTTTCCCCCAAATGTTTCCCCCATTCTCCCCAAATTTTCCCCCAATTTTATTCCAAATTTTTACCAATTTTCCCCGTTTTTCCCCAAATTTTCCTTAAATTTTTCCCCATTTTTGTCCCAATTTTCCCCATTTTATTCCGAATTTTCCCAGATTTTTCCCCAATTTTTGTCCAATTTTTCCCAATTTTTCCCAAAATTTCTTCCATTTCCCCCCCTTTTATTCCCAATTTTTTCACCAAATTTTCCCCATTTGTTCTCAATTTTTCCCCATTTTTCCCCAATTTTTCCCCATTTTTTTCCCCATTTTATTCCAAATTTTCCCATTTTTTTCCCCAAATTTTTTGTTCCCATTTTCCCCCATTTTATTCCAAATTTTTGCCAATTTTTTTCAAATTTTTCCCCAATTTTATTCCCATTTTTTATTCAATTTTTTCCCAATTTTTCCCCATTTTATTCCAATTTTTCCCCAATTTTTCCCCATTTTATTCCAAATTTTTCCCCATTTTATTCCCAATTTTCCCCCCATTTTTCCTTAAATTTTCCCCCATTTTATTCCCCCCCCATTTCCCCCAATATTTCCCAATTTTTCCCCAATTTATTCCCATTTTCCCCCATTTTTTCTCCATGTTATTCTAAATTTTCCCCCAATTTTTCCCCATTTTATTCCCAATTTCCCCCCAATTTTCCCCAATTTTTCCCCAATTTTTCCCCAATTTTCCCCCAATTTTCCCCCAATTTTTCCCCATTTTATTCCCAATTTCCCCCCAATTTTCCCCAATTTTTCCCCAATTTTTCCCCAATTTTCCCCCAATTTTCCCCCAATTTTTCCCCATTTTATTCCCAATTTCCCCCCAATTTTCCCCAATTTTTCCCCAATTTTTCCCCAATTTTCCCCCAATTTTCCCCCAATTTTTCCCCATTTTATTCCCAATTTCCCCCCAATTTTCCCCAATTTTTCCCCAATTTTTCCCCAATTTTCCCCCAATTTTCCCCCAATTTTTCCCCATTTTATTCCCAATTTTATTCCATTTTTCCCCATTTTATTCCAATTTTTCCCCAAATTTTCCCCCAATTTATTCCCAATTTTTTCCCAATTTTCCCCAATTTCCCCCAATTTTTCCCCAATCTCCCCCCATCCCCCCCCCGTGTCCCACCTGCTCACATCTGCCCCATGTGGCCGGCGCCGTCCCCCATGGCCGGGTGGGCGGCGGCCAGGGACAGCGGCGGCGGCTCGGCCGTCACCTTCTCCTCCTCGCGCCGCTTCAGGCACGCCGCCTTGGGGTTCAGGTTCCGCTCTGCGGGGACACCGCAGCTGGAGAACCCGGGAGAACCCCGGGACAACCCCTGGAGAACCCCGGGAGAACCCCTGGAGAACCTCCAGGGAGGAGGACTCCATGGAGAACATCAAAAACTCCATGGGGAACTCCAAAAATTCCATGGACAACAGCAAAAACTCCATTGGGAACATCAGAAATTCCATGGAGAGCTCCAAAAACTCCATGGGGAACATCACAAATTTCATGGAGAACCTCTGGAGAACCTCTGGAGAACCTCCAGGGAGCAGGACTCCGGGGAGAGCTCCAAAAACTCCATGGGGAACTCCAAAAATTCCATGGAGAACTGCATGGAGAACTTCTGGAGAACCTCCACGGAGGAGGACTCCGGAGAGAGCTCCAAAAACTCCATGGAAAACTCCAAAAGTTCCATGGACAACAGCAAAAACTCCATGGGGAACATCAGAAATTTCATGGAGAACTCCAAAAGTTCCATGGAGAACTGCATGGAGAACTTCTGGAGAACCTCCACGGAGGAGGACTCCATGGAGAACTCCAAAAATTCCATGGAGAACATCAAAAATTCCATGGAGAACATCAAAAATTCCACGGAGAACATCAAAAATTCCATGGAGAACTTCATGGAGAACTTCTGGAGAACTTCCATGGAGGAGAAGTCCGTGGAGAGCTCCAAAAACTCCATGGAGAACAGCAAAACTTCCATGGAAAAGTTCATGGAGAACTTTTGGAGAACATCCATGGAGGAGAACTCCGTGCAGAACATCACAAATTCCATGGAGAACATCAAGAATTCCATGGAGAACACCAAAAACTCCATGGAGAACTTCTGGAGAACTTCCATGGAGGAGAACTGCATGGAGAACTCCAAAAATTCCATGGAGAACATCAAAAATTCCATGGAGAACTCCAAACATTCCATGGAGAACCTCTGGAGAACTTCCATGAAGAACTCCATGGAGAACTCAAAAAATTCCATGGAAAACTCCAAAAGTTCCACGGAGAACTCTAAAAATTCCATGGAGAACCTCTGGAGAACTTCCATGGAGGAGGACTCCATGGAGAACTCAAAAAATTCCATGGAGAACATCAAAAATTCCATGCAGGACATCAAGAATTCCATGGACAACATCAAAAACTCCATGGAGAACTCCAAAAGTTCCATGGAGAACTTCTGGAGAACTTCCAGGGAGGAGGACTCCGTGGAGAACTCCAAAAACTCCATGGAGAACAGCAAAAACTCCATGGGGAACATCAGAAATTTCATGGAGAACATCAAAAACTCCGTGGAGAACTCCAAAAATTCCATGGAGAACCTCTGGAGAACTTCCATGGAGGAGAACTCCATGGAGAACTCAAAAAATTCCATGGAGAACACCAAAAATTCCATGGAGAACTTCATGGAGAACTTCTGGAGAACTTCCAGGGAGGAGAACTCCATGGAGAACTCCAAAAATTCCAGGGAGAACTTCATGAAGAACACCCCAAATCCCGTGGACAACCTCCACCCCAAAGCCCACCCCGCGCCGCGACCATCACCAACCTCGGACCTGCTGCTCCATGGAAGTTCTCCATGGAATTGGTGGTGTTCTCCATGGAAGTTCTCCCAAGTTCTCCATGGAAGTTCTCCATGAAGTTCTCCACCAAGGTTCTATTGAGTTCTACACTGAGGTTCCTCAAAGTTCATGGAGAACTTCGGAGAACTTCCATGAAGAACTTCATGGAGAAGTTGAAAGAACTTCCATGGAGAACTTCCATGGAGAACTTCCATGGAGAACTTCCATGAAGAACTTCATGGAGAACTTGGAAGAACTTCCATGGAGAACTCCATGGAGAACTCCATGGAGAACTTCCATGGAGAACTTTAAAGAACACCCATGGAGAACTTCAAAGAACATCCATGGAGAACTTGGAAGAACTTCCATGAAGAACTTCCATGGAGAACACCATGAAGAACACCCCAAATCCCGTGGACAGCCTCCACCCCAACTCCCACCCCGCGCCGCGACCATCACCAACCTCGGACCTGCTGCTCCAGGCTGAGGATGACGGCCACGGCCTGGTGCAGGATCAGCAGCTTGGTCTGGGGTTTGTCACTCTTGAGGTGGAGCTGGACCATCCTGCCCAGCTCCTTGAAGGCCTCGTTGATGTCCCTCACGCGCAGGCGCTCTCGGGCGTTGTTGGCCATCCTTCGTTCCTTCTCCCGTTCCGCTTTCTGCTCCGGGGTCAGGTCCTCGTCGTCGTTATTGCTGGAGAAGGTCCAAAAGAAAAAAGGGACTTTCCAATGGCGGCTCCGGTTTGGGTTGTCCACCACGTTTGGTGGGATTTTGGAGATGTTTCTCCTCAAATTGTGGAGAAATTCCATGGAGAACTTGGTAGAACTTCCATGGAGAACATCCACGGAGAACTTGGTAGAACTTCCATGAAGAACTTCATGGAGAACATCCATGGAGACGTTCCATGGAGAACTTCATGGACAAGTTCCATGGAGAAGTTCTTTCAGGCTCTCCATGGATGTTCTTTGAAGTTCTCCATGGAAGTTCCCCATGGATGTTCTCCATGAATTCTCAATGGATGTTCTCCATGGATGTTCTCCATGAAGTTCTCCATAGATGTTCTCCATGAAGTTCTCCATGGAAGTTCTACCAAGTTCTCCATGGATGTTCTACACAGTTCTCCATGAAGTTCTCCATGGAAGTTCTCCATGAATTCTCCATGAATGTTCCCCATGAAGTTCTCCATGGAAGTTCTGCACGGAACTTCTCCCATGTTCTCCATGATCTTAGAAGAACTTCCTTACAGAACTTCCTGGAGAACTTCCATGGAGAAGTTCTTTCAGGCTCTCCATGGATGTTCCCCATGAAAGTCCTACCAAGTTCTCCATGGAAGTTCTCCTAAATTCTCCATGGATGTTCTCCTAAATTCTCCATGGAAGTTCTCCATGGATGTTCTCCATGGAGTTCCTCATGGAAGTTCTACCTGGTTCTCCATGGAAGTTCTCCAGGAAGTTCTCCATGGAAGTTCTCCACAAAACTTCTCCCATGTTCTCCATGATCTTAGAAGAACTTCCTTACAGAACTTCCTGGAGAACTTCCATGGAGAAGTTCTTCCAGGTTCTCCATGGATGTTCTTTAAAGTTCTCCATGGAAGTTCTCCTCAAAACTTCTCTCATGTTCTCCATGATCTTAGAGGAACTTCCTTGCAGAGCTTCCTGGAGAACTTCCATGGAGAACTTCCTGGAGAACTTCCATGGAGAACTTCCTGGAGAACTTCCATGGAGAACTTCCTGGAGAACTTCCATGGAGAACTTCCTGGAGAACTTCCATGGAGAACTTCCTGGAGAACTTCCATGGAGAACTTCCTGGAGAACTTCCATGGAGAACTTCCTGGAGAACTTCCATGGAGAACTTCCTGGAGAACTTCCATGGAGAACTTCCTGGAGAACTTCCATGGAGAACTTCCTGGAGAACTTCCATGGAGAACTTCCTGGAGAACTTCCATGGAGAACTTCCTGGAGAACTTCCATGGAGAACTTCCTGGAGAACTTCCATGGAGAACTTCCTGGAGAACTTCCATGGAGAACTTCCTGGAGAACTTCCATGGAGAACTTCCTGGAGAACTTCCATGGAGAACTTCCTGGAGAACTTCCATGGAGAAGTTCTTCCAGGTTCTCCATGGATGTTCTTTAAAGTTCTCCATGGAAGTTCTCCATTAAGTTTTCCATGGAAGTTCTTCATGAAAGTTCTACCAAGTTCTCCATGGAAGTTCTACCAAGTTCTCCATGAAGTTCCCCATGGATGTTCTCCATGAGGTTCTCCATGGAAGTTCTCCTAAATTCTCCATGGATATCCTCCAAGAAGTTCTCCACGGAAGTTCTACCAAGTTCTCCACAGAACTTCTCCCGTGTTCTCCACGAACTCAGAAGAACTTCCATGGAGAACTTCCAGGAGAACACCACAAATTCCATTTTTTTCTGATATTTCGTCCCAATTTCCCCAAATTTTCCCAAATTTTCCCGATTTTCCCCATTCCCCCAGCTCCCGTTACCTAGATCTTGACCTAGTTATGGATTTGATCTCCTTCTTCTCCTCTTCCAGCTTCTTCTCCTCGGCCGCCTTCGGCTCCTGCAGGTTCTCGTCGGCCTCGTCGTCGGATTTGATCTCCGAGCTGCCCGAGGACACGCTCTGCCCCTGCAGAGCCCCTGGGATCCCTAAAAATCCCAAAATTCCGGCTGGAGAAGGTCCCAAAATCCCAGAAGTTTTGGGATGGACCTTCTGGCTCCATAACTTGTTTTCTCCAAGCTCCATTCCACCAGGAACATCTCCAGAAGGTCTCAAATCCCAAAATTCTTGGGTTGAGGGAACTTCTCATCCCATCCCAGGTTCTCCAAGCTCCATCCCACCAGGAGAATTCCCAAAATTTTTGGGATGGACCTTCCGGCTCCGTAAGTCCTGTTCTCCAAGCTCCATTCCACCAGGAACATCTCCAAAACTTCCAAAAATCCCAAAATTCTTGGGTTTGAGGAACTTCTCATCCCAAAATCCCCAAAATTTTTGGGATGGACCTTCCGGCTCCATAACTTGTTTTCTCCACGGTCCATCCCACCAGGAACATCTCCAGAAGTTCCAGAAATCCCAAAATTCTTGGGTTGAGGGAACTTCTCATCCCATCCCCGGTTCTCCAAGCTCCATCCCACCAGGAGAATTCCCAAAATTTTTGCGATGGACCTTCCAGCTCCGTAACTCCTGTTCTCCAAGCTCCATCCCACCAGGAACATCTCCAGAACTTCCAAAATCCCAAAATTCTTGGGTTGAAGGAACTTCTCATCCCATCCCAGGTTCTCCAAGCTCCATCCCACCAGGAGAAGTCCCAAAAATCCCAAAATTTTTGGGATGGAGCTTCCGGCTCCATAACTCCTGTTCTCCGAGTTCCATCCCACCAGGAACATCTCCAGAAGGTCCAAAATCCCAAAATTCTTGGGGTTTGAGGAACTTCTCATCCCATCCCAGGTTCTCCAAGCTCCATCCCACCAGGAACATCTCCAGAAGGTCCAAAATCCCAAAATTCTTGGGGTTTGAGGAACTTCTCATCCCATCCCAGGTTCTCCAAGCTCCATCCCACCAGGAACATCTCCAGAAGGTCCAAAATCCCAAAATTCTTGGGGTTTGAGGAACTTCTCATCCCATCCCAGGTTCTCCAAGCTCCATCCCACCAGGAACATCTCCAGAAGGTCCAAAATCCCAAAATTCTTGGGTTGAAGGAACTTCTCATCCCAAAATCCCCAATTTTTTTTGAATTCTCACCCTAAATTTCCAAAATTTTTTGGGATTCTCACCCTAAAGTCCCAAATTTTTGGGGATTTTCATCCTAAATTCTAAAATTTTTTGGGATTCTCACCCTAAATTCCCAATCTTTTGGGGGTTTTCATCCTAAAAACCCAAAATTTTTGGGATTCTCACCCTAAATTCCAAATTTTTTGGGGAATTTCTCCTTAAAATCCCAAATTTTTTTTTGGATTCTCACCCTAAATTCCCAAAATTTTTTGGTATTCTCGTTCTAAAAACCCAAATTTTTTTGAATTCTCACCCCAAAATCCCAATTTTTTTGGGGATTCTCATCCTAAATTCCCAAGTTTTTTGGGATTCTCACCCTAAATTCCAGAACTTTTTGGGATTCTCACCCTAAAATTCAAAATTTTTTGGGATTTTCATTCTAAAATCCCCAAATTTTTTGAGTTTGAGGAACTTCTCATCCTAAAAACCCAAAATTTTTTGGGATTCTCACCCTAAATTCCTAAATATTTTGGGATTCTCTTCCTAAAAACGTAAAATTTCTTGAGATTCTCACCCTAAAAACCCAAAATTTTTTGGGATTCTCACCCTAAATTCCTAAATATTTTGGGATTCTCTTCCTAAAAACGTAAAATTTCTTGAGATTCTCACCCTAAAAACCCAAAATTTTTTGGGATTCTCACCCTAAATTCCCAAAATTTTTTGGTATTCTCGTTCATAAAAACCCAAATTTTTTTGAATTCTCACCCCAAAATCCCAATTTTTTTGGGGATTCTCATCCTAAATTCCCAAGGTTTTTTGGGATTCTCACCCTAAATTCCAGAACTTTTTGGGATTCTCACCTTGAATTCCCAAATTTTTTGGGATTCTCATTCTAAAATCCAAAATTTTTTGGAATTGAGGAACTTCTCATCCTAAATTCCCAAAATTTTTTGGGATTCTCACCCTAAATTCCCAATTTTTGGGGGGTTTCCATCCTAAAAACCCAAAAATTTTTGGGATTCTCACCCTAAATTCCAAATTTTTTGGGGAATTTCTCCTTAAAATCCCAATTTTTTTTGGATTCTCACCCTAAATTCCCAAAATTTTTTGGTATTCTCGTTCTAAAAACACAAATTTTTTTGAATTCTCACCCCAAAATCCCAAATTTTTTGGGGATTCTCATCCTAAATTCCCAAGTTTTTTGGGATTCTCACCCTAAATTCCAGAACTTTTTGGGATTCTCACCCTAAAATTCAAAATTTTTTGGGATTTTCATTCTAAAATCCCCAAATTTTTTGAGTTTGAGGAACTTCTCATCCTAAAAACCCAAAATTTTTTGGGATTCTCACCCTAAATTCCTAAATATTTTGGGATTCTCTTCCTAAAAACGTAAAATTTCTTGAGATTCTCACCCTAAAAACCCAAAATTTTTTGGGATTCTCACCCTAAATTCCCAAAATTTTTTGGGATTTCCCCCCCTAAATTCCCAATTTTTTTGGGATTCTCACCCTAAATTCCAGAACTTTTTGGGATTCTACACCTAAATTCCCAATTTTTTTGGATTCTCACCCTAAATTCCCAAAATTTTTTGGTATTCTCGTTCTAAAAACCCAAATTTTTTTGAATTCTCACCCCAAAATTCCCAAATTTTTTGGGATTCTCACCCTAAATTCCCAAATTTTTTTGGATTCTCATCCTAAATTCCCAAATTTTTTGGGATTCTCACCCCAAAATCCCCAAAATCCTT